CAGCTTTTGTTGAGAAATCAAAACTGATTTTTTCACATGTCAGGTGGAATAAATTTTAACCTCTGGTGCTGTAAAAAGAAGAAAAAGGAAATAAAACTTTTCTTCTTAGTAAAAGTTAGTGCACAAGTGATTGAACGCAAGAATATAGGTCAGTGGCCAATAAATACCTCGGTAGAAAAAAGAATATGTAGGGCGTGCTGACAAACTGGTTTATTTCTCGTTGGGGAGCACTAGCAACACAATAAGGTCATACAAGTGCAGAAGATTAAAAGTGTTACAAGAGAGTAACAAACACTAAAAAGAAGGTGAGATAAGGACGAAAGATGTTTGACAGGAAAGAAGGTGCAAACCACACCAGAGCACCCTCCAACCGCCCGCAGCGGGGTTGAGAAGGAGTTATTAAGTGGAGTGGAGCGGAGATGAAAGCAGATGAGAGAACAGGACTAGAAAAAAGGAAAGGTCTTGAAAGGAAAAAAATTCAAAGAAGGAAATTTTAGTTGTGGCCAGTCAGGTTTCAATCCTGAGACCTTTTTTCGTGTTAGTAAGTGGTTTACGGCACTTGCAACACAATAAGGTTATATAAGTGCCAAAGATTAGAGGTGTTACAAGAGAGTAACAAACATAAATAAGGAGGAGAGATCAGGACGAAAGATATTTGATTGGACAGGAGAAGCAAACCACACCAGAGCACCCGCAAACCACCCACAGCGCACGAAAGATTGAAAGCAAAAGTATAGGTCAGTGGTCAATAAAATACCTCGGTGGGAAAAAAAATATATGTAAGGCGTGCTGACAAACTGGTTTATTTCTTGTGGGTGGGTGGGGTTAGGGGAGGAGTTATGAAGTAGAGACGAAAGCAGACGACAGAACAGGACTAGAAAATAGGAAAGGTCTTGAAAGGAGAAAATTTCAAAGGAGGACATTTTTTTTGGTCACAATAAGGTTTAAATCCTGAGACCTTTTGAATGAAAGGCAGACACTATACCTCAAGACCACGAGAGAAGCCCCATTTTTTGTCTTGCGAGGAAGCAGCACATGTTGTTAAAGTACACCAGTTGAGTTGTTAAAAAAAATCAGTTCCATATCAAACCGTAGAAACCAATCCCGAGGTCCGTGAGTTAAAAAGAAAGACAAAAACGTGAGGCGTGTTTCAAAAATTAAAGAATTATTTCTCGCAATCTATAAATGAAAATATCGGCTGAAAATCAACACTGAGGTGAAAGTAGTTGATTTTCAACTGATACCAATTTCTTTGACATACCAAAGCCAGGCATGGACTTTGACCAAGAGTCCGGAATGTAAGATAACTACCTGCGAGATGAGATGTCTAAGGAGAGCCGAGCCGTCAACAAAACCAGACGGGACATGATCAGAAACAACAGCATCAAAGAAATGATGGGAACAACACCAGTTGTCCTCCGCTCCATTCAGAGGCAAACAATCAGGTGGTTTTGGACATCTGACACGTATGAAGGCACTTCACCAGCTTGACAGTAAAGCGTACAAAAAAATATCAGGGTACAAGGAAAGAGGAAGATCAAGGAAGACCTAGATCCAGGGTGTGAAGGATACCCTGAAAACATACATCATTCCACCTAGTCAGGCCATCAAACTTGCTAGAGACAAAAAGCTCTTTCTCCCCTCGACATTCTAGAGGTACAAGAGGACGGATAAGTAAGTAAATACCGAAGCCAATTTCTTAAAGTTTATCACGTCTTTTGTTATTTTATACTTATAAAATTGTTCAAACTCAGCCAATAAACTTGACATATTAGATCTATTTCCATTAGGTTAAAAAATCAAGAAGTAAATCATTTTGTCAGCATGCCTCACAAATAATAATAATAGATAGCATTTGTATAGCGCAAATCCCTGCTCAACAGCAAGCTCTATGTGCATCACAATCTATACTATTACCCCAGGAGACCTGAAAGCATTCTGAAACACCTCAACTTCCTGGGAAGCACACAGTACAAGCAGCCATTTATAGGCACTAAGACACTTACATAGTGACAAAATCTTTCACTGTCTATGGCCGGGTACCCATTCCCACCTGGGTGAATTATGCACCCTTAACTTACCGCCACCATCCACCAGTGTCCGCTCCTGTACAAGGCGTACGCCAGAAGGAGGAATGTGAACCTGACAGCAGACAACATCTGTAAGAATAAGAACACAAAAATTGGTATGAATAGAAACAGGAGCAAATTTAACCCTATCCGTACCCCCTGGGGTCATTTTGTACCCCCGGGGTTGTATTTTTCACATTTTAGAATACTTCTAGTGCGAAGGTCTCTTTGAAACTTTCAGTATATAAAAAAAATCATTTTGACAGACTGCTATGCAAAGGGTACGCACCAGATTAACTAGCAAATTTCCTCTTTGGAAAGTGGTGGTACAGAGTTCCCCACGTCGTATGGAAACGATAGTAAAACACGACAGACTGATAGGGTTAACAAGCAGGATACGTAATGATAAACATTCTCCCCACTTGGGAATCAAACTCGAGTCTCCAGCGGGCGGCAGCAAAGTGCCACATAGGTCAGCTACCATAGCCTATTGGCTAGCACCTTTTCTCTGACCCTACCGGACCCACCCATGCAGATCTTGTCCATCTGACAAATAGGCTTCCCTTCTTACACACACAGGAAGAAACTGATCGACTCTTCCACCAACGTATGACACCAACCAGCTGTTTAAATGAATTAAGCCCAGTTTCAAATTTAAAAAATAAATAAATAAAATAAAAAATCATTTTCTCAATCTGTGGTACTAGGTATCGGTTGCTAATTTGTGGTATTGACTGCAAATGCTAAAGAAACATAATTATTGTCCAAATACAAGCTCTAAATGTTGAAGAAAACCCCCCCACAGTAAAACCCACTAAGAAATATGTATAACATTGGTACAATTGTTAAAAGAATGGGTCGCTTTTAAGGCAAAGTTTTTGGAACCTTGTTCACTTAATTTAAAAGACAAGGGGAGTTTTCTCTATCACCAAACAAATATACACACAATGAAACCAAACTTCTCCTAAAGGTAGGACAATGCCCACTTTCGGTGCTGGTCAAGATTTCCGGAAACTCCCAAAATCTGGGTTAGCCCGCTTGTCCTTAAAACCGACCTATTAAACAATGGCTTTCTCTCTCTCCTATAAATGTTGCTCTGTGGGCTTAGTACATTTAACTGGGTGCGCATTTAACACCTTGAGGACGATATGTGGCGTCGGTGGCCAAGTGGTTAGGCTACCGGACTAGTAATAGTGAAACGGCGGATTCGCAGGTTCGAGCCTCATCTCAGTCCAACATTACGTCCTCGGGAAAGGCACTTTACACGAATTTCCCACTTGGCTCTGTCCTTTCGGCGATGGACGTAAAACTCTTAAATAAACGAACAGTGTTGATAGGGGCACAAAACCTATACCATCTCACCATTTTTCTTCAGAGGGTATGTACATGGAAAATATACCAACCCTAAAGAAACAAAAACTTACCACAGAATCAAAGAGTGAGCTCGCAAAGGTATAGTTCTGGACCTCTTTCTCAAACGCTTTGTAGCCTGTGTCTCCTATGAGCTGTGGGGAGATGCGAACAGTGTCAGAGGATAGGAATCAATGATTCGTCCCTTCATTCATCCACTTATTCATCACACATTCATTCAACCACTTATTCTTCACTCATTTATTCATACAATTATTCACCATTCATTCATTCATCCATTTATTCACCACTAATTCATTCATTCACTTATTCCACACTCATTCATTACACATATTTTTCACTCATTCCTTCATTCACTTATTCATCACTCAATCATTCATCTCCTTATTCACCACTCATTCTTCATCCATCCATCCACATATTCATCACTCTTTCATTCAATCACTAGGTCAGCCATTTATTCAAGTCATTGTGATTAGTTACTATTTTTACAACAGGCCGACCGCTCAGTCTAAAGACCCGGTTATACATCACTTTTAAAATGGCACACATACGGCAGTCTTACAAAAAGCCGTTGAAATACCTGCGCACGAAACTCTACATTTAATTTGCTTGTTCGCAGCAAAGTCAGGGAAGAGCATTTTTTGGACAACAAATCGCTACCTCAGAATTACAAAGTTCTAACTGAGATTTTAGGCCGTTTTGAGTTACTAAGACCATGAGGACAGAGACCAAATGTTTTATCTGCTCTATCAAAATCGTATTGAACTATGTAATTCTGAAGTAGCCAAATATATTTATGAGGCATTGAGTTGAAATCAGACGCTTGTTAAAATAATGAAAGCAAAGAGTCTGGAGACCAGCATTTTTTCACTGGACAATTTCTATCTTTTTTTGTTATCTTGGCTCACCTTTTAAGTGACACTCACTCACTCACTCACCCACTTAGTCACTCACTCACTCCCCCACTCACTTCCTCCATCTCTCCCTCCCCCACTCAGTCACCAGAGTGTAGATGACCAAGAGGATGAACTAAAGAGGTTGAAGAAGAGCAAACTACACCAGAGCACCCACCAACTACCTCCCTCACCAACCCACCACCCACTCACTAACCCACCCACTCACTCCCCCACCACTCCTTCCATCCCTCCCTCACCCACTCATTCACATGAGGATGAGGTCGAAGAGACAAAAAGTACGCTGCACAGAGGACATGCAACCCTCACTCACTCACCTGAGTGTAGATAAGGCCCAAGAGTACAACCCTCTAAACACTCTCACTCACTCAATCTCCCTCACCAACCCACCACCTACTCATCCACTCCCTCCCTCCCTCAACCCACTCACCAAGCGTAGATGACCCAAAGGATGAACATGAGGATGAGGTCGAAGAGGACCCGGCAACCACCCACACTCACTCCCTCACTTACTCTATCCCTCACTCACCTGAGCGTAGATGACCCAGAGGATGAACATGAGGATGAGGTCGAAGAGAACGAAGAGACAGAAGGTTCGCCGCACAGAGGACATGCGGCCCTCGCTCATCGGGTCAGCTGCCAGGCTGGCGGTGAGGGGCGCCGGTCCTGATGGGCCCCCCATGTCGGGGTCGCTGAACGATGGCAGGACGGGCGCCGACACTGGGGGAGGGATGCTGCGGGGGAAGGGAGAAGGTAAGGTGATGAGAAAAGGGGGGGGGGGGGCGAGGGGGAAAAGGGATGAGGGGGCGGGCGGGGTGTGGGGCTGCATGATTTGTTTTTTTATGTATGGATGGGCGGATACATAGATATATAGATACAGAGGGATAGAGAGAGAGATAGTTACTTAGTCGGATGGAGGGATGGAAGGATGGATAGCTACACAGTCAGACAGACAGATAGCTAGTAAGCTAGATAGATAAACTAGTCAACAAAAGTTAAGGAACGTACTGTAAAAAGAGTGATATATTTGTATGCATTCTTTCGAGGTTTTACTTTTACTCGTAAAACTAGATATTGGTGAAATGTTACTCTATGACTAATGGGATTGTACACACCAGGGTTTGAAGTGAACGTGACTCCTGTGCGATGAGCTGGGGAGGGGGCAAAAAGGTCCAATGTTTTCCAATTATCGATTTTTATTCTCTAGCTCTTACCGTCAGGAACGCTCAAAAATCCGTTTTCGATTGCAAGATTCATGTCTCGTGAGTGACTTGCACTCGCTCATTTGCACTGTGGATACACCATTCTGCTGCTGTAGGGCTAAGCATAAACATGCCTCCTCGACAGAAATTGTCTGATGTAAACAGAGGACGAGCCATCGCTTAGGTACAAGATGGTGTTTCACTCCGACAAGTTGCTACACGTCTTCGAGTGTCCGTTTCTGTCATTTCACGACTGATTCAGCGTGCCAACGCCACTGGTAGTGCCCAAGAGCGACCCAGATCAGGTCGACCAAGAGCCACTAATGCAAGGGAAGACCGATTCATTCATAGACAGGCTCCGCAGTCGAGATCCGCTCCTGCAAATCGCACCCGGACAAGGCTGAGAGCGGCAACTCGTGTTAACATTAGTTGTCAGACAGTACGAAGACGTCTTCATGAGTTTGGACTTAATGCACGTCGACCAGCAGTCCACCAACGTCTCACCCCAGCACACAGGGCTGCTCGTCTTGCCTTTTGGCGACGCCAAGTAAGATGGACACGTCAACAGTGGGCAAACGTTCTCTTCAGCGACGAGTCCCGGTTCTCTTTGCATCACCCGTATCAGGGTTTGGAGGCGACCCGGAGAGCGGCTCCTCGATGGAGCCGTCAGAGAAGTGATGCCTTTTGGAGGTGGTTCCGTGATGGTATGGGGTGCTTTCAGCCTGAACCACAGAATACCTCTGTACCAAGTGCTAGGGAATCTCACTGCAATACGTTACCGAGATGAGATACTCCGTCCATTAGCACTACCTACTCTGCAGCAGATGGGGCCACATGCAGTGTACCAGGATGACAACGCCCGACCTCATAGAGCGTTGCTTGTCCAAAACTTCATGCAGCAGGCTGGCATCAACCGAATGGACTGGCCAGCCTGCAGTCCGGACTTGAATCCCATAGAAAACCTCTGGGATGAGCTGCAACGTCGAGTCAGAGTCAACCACAACCCTCCAGGAGACGCGCAGCAACTGTTTCAGATGCTGTGGGCAGAGTGGCAGGGGATGCCTCAGAGAGTGTTCACCAACCTCATGAACTCGATGAGGAGCCGGTGTACTGAGTGCCAGGACAATCGTGGTGGGCATACTCATTATTGAAATCATCTGAACTGTTTTGTTTTTGTTGCAGTCAGAAGTTAAAATAACTTCGAAACCGCTTGACAATTTTTGGGATTTTGGATTTTAACCCCTACCAAACGCAATTAACTTTTCAAGCAAGTTAAAATGGAATAACTTCATTTTCTTTTTTGGTACTTGCTATACAAATGTTGATTAAAATATGTACACAATTTCATTGCGTGTTGAAGTTTGCTTTCGAAGTTCTACACCTTTTCTCAAATGTTCCTTAATTTTTGTTGACTAGTTTAGATTATTACTATTATCATCAATATTATAATTATATGTGACATACATCCATCTATACGCATGGGGTCAAATTTTACGAGAGAAGCAAAACAACAACAACAAAACAAATAAAACCAAACAAAACCCGTTGATTTCTTCATATATCTCCAGCTATCTCTCCACCCACCTCTCCATCTCTCCACCCACCTCTCCATCTCTCCACCCACCTCTCCATCTCTCCACCCATCTCTCCACCCGCCTCTCCACCCACCTCTCCATCTCTCCACCCACCTCTTCATCTCTCAACCCACCTCTCCACCTTTCCACCCATCAGTCCATCGATCGGCCCATCTGTCCACCTATCCACCCATCTCTCCACCCACCTCTCCACCCATCTCTCCACCCACCTCTCCACCCACCTCTCCATCTCTCCACCCACCTCTCCATCTCCCAACCCACCTCTCCACCTATCCACCCATCTGTCCATCGATCGGCCCATCTGTTCACCTATCCATCCATCTCTGTAATCTATCCACCATATGTCCATCTACCCACCCATCTCTGTAATCTATCTACCCATATCTCCATCTATTCACCCATCTCTACACCCATATCTACATCTATGCACCCGTCTCTCCATCTGTCCAATCATATGTCCATCTATCCACCTACAGGGTCCATATCTCCAGTTATCCACCCATCACTCCATCTCAAAGTCAATCTATCCACCCAGATTCCATTCTCCTCACACCTCTCCACCTTTCCATCCATCTCTCAACCCATATCATGTCCATCTATCCCCCCC